TGTGGTTTTGAGCGTAGGAAGGGGCAAGGCAGGTAAGCAGTCTTAGGACTGGCTAGTTTAAATGGTTTCTGTGGCTCTGTGGTATGGGGGGGCTGTTCCCCTAGGGCAGGGGTGGGGAACCTTTTTTCGGCCAAGGGCCATTTGGATATTGATATCATCATTTGCTTAGTGTAATTCACTTAATATAAACTTATGTTGTTATGAAAAAAGCTCCTAGATTTATTGAATTCCCAGTCTTCCTGTGGTTGCCTTGGCAAGGCCAGACCAGATGACCTTGTGGGCCTCAGATGGCTGGATGGTCTCTACCTCTGCCCTAGGGGTTCCTGGCCCTGGGGTAACAGGCAGGTGGATGGTGGCCTGCAGTATGAGGGCCGGATAAAGGAGGTGGTGAGGTATGCGGTCTGGATGGACTGGTTTGCGTTTGAGAAGCACGCTGCTACTATCTCTAGGAACTGACTAAGCCTGGGAGGGGTCTGCTAGGCCACAGAGAGCAAAGCATCAGAATACAGAAAATAGGAGCCCTGGGTAAGACCCTGGGGTATGCTGGGAGTGTGATCTTTTATACTGGGCTGCAGGGAGGAGGTCAGCTAAGGCCTCTCTGTTTAAGTGCCTTCTGAGCCGAGACAGAATGAGGAGATGAAGCTAGTGATGTGAGGATACCTTAGGGAAGAGTCTTCCAGCCAGAGCAAGCAGCCAGTGCAAAGGCCCTGAGGTGCTACTGTACTTGTCTGTCCCAGGAAGAAGGGGGGCTGGTCTATCTGAAAGGAGAGAGGAGGCAGAGGCAAGGAGACCAGGTCAGGGAGGGGGGGCCGAGGGAGACTCTGGCTTTATGAGTGGATGTCACCAGTTTTGTTGCTATGAGCGGAGGATGAGCAGGAGCCGACTTGGGTTCTAGCAGGTTCCTCTGCTGTTGTGCAAGAATGGGTGGAGAGGGAGCAAGAGCTCAGGGAAGCCAGGGAGGAGGCTGAGCAGCAATCCAGGCAGGAGAGGATGAGGCTGCAGCAGGGGAGGAGGTGTGTGCCCCCCTCCCCGACCCTACTCCGTCATGGCACATGTGCAGAAATACTTTATCCTATGTCTTTTCCATCATGCAATCGGCCCTTTGGGGCCGGCACTGAACCCAGCTCTGTGGTGTGTTTTATCCCCAGTGGCTTTGACGGCACCAGTTTCAGGATAAAGTCTCTAGAAATGTTTATTCAAGGATGTCTCCTTGCACATCTGGGTTTTCTCCTGGGAGGAAGGGTGACCCCAGCAGGGGCCAGTTCCTGTGCCCACGTGCTCCCTTGGCAGCTGGAGAAATGCCCGCGTCTTCCCTACCTCTGGGCCTTTCCACTGGCTGCTCTCTCTGCTCGGATCACTGCTCCTCCCCCACCTCCACGTCCCTTTTCAGTGTCACCTTCTCAGAGAGTCCTTCCCTGACCCTCTTATGTGGCTGCTCTGCACCTCCCTGCAGCCTGTGGGTCTCTGCCAGGTCACCTCATGCTCACCTCCGGAAATTACTTTCTCCCGTTCGCATGCCTCTCCCCATCACTGTGCGGGTCCTACAAGCACAAGGGCTAGTTCTAAAACCCTCACTGGGCAGGAGCTGGTGCTGGTGCCCATCCCGATGCCCTTCAGTGGGCAGGATGTCCCTGCTCAGCAGCTGTGGGTGCAGGTGCTAAATCCCACCTGCACGCGTGGGAGATGCCAATTAGTGCTGAGTCACTGGATATGCCAGGGGTGTTGGGACAGGACCAGAACTAGGCAGTGGCATGACAAAGGCTGATTCTGTCTTTATTTACAGTTTTGATATTTTGTTCATCATGGATTTTTGGCATTAAATTTGATTTTTAAAAATACTGCATTAAAATATGAGTTATCTTGATCACTCTTTTTTTTTCTTTTTTTTCTTGGCTCTGCCTAAAATTCTGAGCCCAAGGTGAGAAGTCCTGGCCCTGCTCAGAGGTGGGGCCTGAGGATCTGTGTTGTTAAATCAGCTCCCCAGTCCTCCACTGTGAGTCTTGCAGAAGCGATGAGCTACATCAGAGATGGAGGATAACGTGTTGACTAAAATATAAAACAATTTGGATACTTGCTGTTTCCCTTAGCGCAGTGACTTTCACACACCGCCCCGGCTGTATGGAGTTAGTCACCTGTACAGGGTCAAAGGAGAGGCCCCCTTACGGCAGGGCAAGGGGCCGTGGCCCACACTTCAAGCGCAATAGCCCTTATTCGACCCGATGTACAGCCGGGCTTTCTGCATCTGATTTCACATCATTAAAAAAATGTGGAAAAGCCATGACCATCAATCTGGTCAGGGTCCTAGAAGTGGTTAGTTAGCTGTCTGAGGGCTCCTGGTTCTTAGTTAGGACCAAGGGCCTTTGAGCCTCACTCTGCACGTGCAAGTCCGTATCTAGAGCCCCTCTTACCCTCAAGGGAGGTCCTGAGAGGTGCCTAAGTCTGAGCCTCTGCCTCAGCCACCAGCTTTAGTCAGAATCTTCGCAAGACGCCAGGGATTGCGAGCCTCAGTGACCCCTGCTCCTCCCTGCACAGCCAGCTGCAGCCTCTGTCCTCAGTGGGGGGTTGGGGTGGGGGTGGGGGAGGGTGTCTCCTCCTTGCGCTGTCCCAGCTTCTCCTTCCCCCCCACCAAATGGTATTTGCTTTCCATCCCCTTGACTTTTAAAGGGCTCCATTTTATACCTCTTTCTGTGTCACGTTCTACTTAGCATTTTTAGTTGTCCCTGTCTCTCACGGCCGCTTTGGAGGAGAAAAAAAAGGTCATTCCATAAATCTAACGTGTTATTACCACGACGGCAGTGCCGATCGCTATGACACTCCCCGGGCCGGGAAGGTAGAGCTAATTAGTCGGAAAACTTACTTTTCAGGCGTGAGTCATGGAAGCAGGTGTCAGGGGAGCCTTTAACAAGGCCCTCGTGTCTCGAATGATATTTCCACTCTGCATCACTGCCTGTATATTGTGATAGTGCACTGAGACGCCCCCCTCCCCGGGCCCCAGGGAGAGAGAGAGAGAGGTGCCCAGAGGCCCAGCACCCAACGTTAAAAACAGATGCCTTTCTACTTCCTGGCCCTCTTTTCGCTTTCCCTTCATTTTTCTTTCATTCATTCATTCATTCATTCATTCAACAAGTATTGATTGAGCACCTACTAGGTGCCAGGCCCTGTGCTGGGTGCTGGGGGTGAGCCATGTGGCTGAGTTTCTGCCAGCACAGCACTAGCCTCCGCCTGCTGGAAACGGACCATACTTGAGTGGCAGAGAAATTAACCAGGCAATTTGAGAGATTGATGAGTGGGTGGCAAAGATCAAGCAGGTTTGGAGGGAGAGTGGTGGTGGTGGAGGTGCTGGAGTGGACTCTTTAGGCATGTGGTCAGGGGAGTGATGGGAAGGAGCCAGCCACGCAGTGTTCTATGGGAAGGGCAGTCCCTGCAGAGGGATCACAGGTGTGAAGGCTCTGAGATGGCAATGGGCTAGGTCAGTGCTCGACAAACCGCGGCTCACGAGCCACATGCGGCTCTTTGGCCTCTTGAGTGTGGCTCTTCCACAAAATACCACGTGCGGGCGCACATACAGTGCGATTGAAACTTTGTGGCCCATGCGCAGAAGTTGGTATTTTGTGGAAGAGCCGGTATTTTATTCCCCACGTGATGGATGGCCCGTGGTGGGTCTAGCAGGGAAGCCAGTGACCAGGTTTGCTTTAGAGCAGGGGTGGGCAAACATTTTGACTCGAGGGCCACAATGGGTTCTTAAACTGGACCGGAGGGCCGGAACAAAAGCATGGATGGAGTGTTTGTGTGAACTAATATAAATTCAAAGTAAACATCATTACATAAGAGTACGGTCTTTTTTTTTAGTTTTATTCATTTCAAACGGGCCGGATCCGGCCCGCGGGCCGTAGTTTGCCCACGGCTGCTTTAGAGCATGCTTTGTGCTGCTGGCCCAGGGGAGGGGCTGTGGCCCAGGATGAAGAAGCGACGCTGCCGGACCTGTGAGGGTGAAGACCGGCTGTGACTGTCTGCCACCGAGGGATGAGAGGCTCTGACCCCTGAGAGCTGAGTTAGCCTGGTGGGATGGCCTGCGGTTCCCTCTACTGTGGGTCACCCACAGCACGTGAGGTCAGGAGGAGCTCCCGGCGGCAGGTGCTCTGTGGGTCTTTGGGGGAGTCCTTAGGGGGCTTCAGACTATGCATCTCAGACTGTTCAGGGAACCCCGACATCCCCCCTCCCCCCACTTCTGAAGCATCAACCCCATTCTCAGTTTAGATTTAGACATAGGTAACTAGTTTAAATTATTTTTCCAAATTTTAAATACACGTGGAATAGAATTAAAAATACAGCCTCCCTCCTTTTTTTTTTTTTTTTTAAAGAAAAAATGAAGCGATTTCACCTTTGTAGTCAGCAATGCTGACAGGCCCCTTGGGTGCACGCAATGTGCAGGGTACCTTGGGGGAAAAGTTTGAGAATATGGGCCTAAAGGTGCAAAATAGGAGGAAAAAGGCGGGCGAGGAGGAAAAAGGGAGTCAAAGAGAAACAAGAGAGAGGGAATTCCGTATTTACCAACCATTTCCCAAAGCCTTCCTTTCCCTCCAGCCCCACCGGGGCGCTGCCTGGCCCGAGGGACCCAAGGAAACAAGCCTTTTCCTTCTGGTCCCCACACTGGCTGTTCTGCTGGGAGACACCTTCCTTTCTTAAGAGAACCCCGTGGAAGGCGCGCTTCCTCTTCACCGGTTTCCTTTAATTCAGCGGTTCTCAACCTCGGCTGCACATCAGAATCACCTGGGAATCTTGTTAAAATCCTGGTTTCTGGGCCTCATCCTCCGGAAAGTCTGTTTCTTTGTTACTAATGTTGTGGCCCCACCCCATCACAAAGAAACAGAATTTCTGGAGGATGGGGTCCGGAAATCAGGATTTTAACAAGATTCCCAGGTGATTCTAATGTGCAGCCACGGTTGAGAACCGCTGCTTTAATTGCATGTGCTCCACAGTGAAGACAGACACGCGGCTGCGGCCGATTGTATTTTTCCTCCAGGCACACCCGTAAAGCAGGTCTTTGCTGGGCGGGCTATTTACATGGTGGAAAGAACACGCCATCTCCTTATCGAGGGACACAGGCTGGAGGGCTGGGTCGGGCGGGGACGGTCACGCTGTGTGCTGGGACCAGCTCGGCTGGCTGAGGAGGGCAGGGACCCTTCTGGGATGTTGTGAACGTTCTCCCAGGGGGCGTGCACGGGGTCAGTCCTCGGCCAGGGCCACGTTCAGAATTGGCATGAGCCGTAGAAGGCGTCTGCAGTGATGGCGATAGCGTCAAGCCGCAGGCAGGGCTGGGGGTGGGGGGGGTCCTGGGGGTGGCGGTGGTGGGCTCTAGGCTCAGTTCTTGTCTCTGGTGTCCGAGGAGGCACTTCCGAACAAGATGTCACTGTCCTGGGACAGGCCGCTCAGCTGCGACTTGGTTTTGATGAGGAACTGGGTCCTCCGGAACATCACCCGCTCCTGCTCCTGCTTGAGCTCCAGGTATGAGCGGGAGAAGGTGTGGAAGATGGAGGTCACTGGGAAGGCCATGAGGAGGATGCCGCTAAGGATGCTGCTGAGCGCCACCACCTGGCCAGGCGTGCTCCTGGGTACCATGTCTCCATAGCCCACAGTTGTCATGGTGATGACCGCCCACCAGTAGCAGGCGGGGATGCTGGTGAACTCCGGGCTGTCGGCCATCTCATTCTCGATGACGTAAAGGAGGGGGGCGAAGAGGGCGATGGCCACGCAGAGGAAGAGCAGCAGGAGCCCGAACTCCCGGGTGCAGCGGCGGGCCGTGAGCCCCA